ATAAAAATGTTTAACTATCTACTGTGCTTAAAAGATATTACTGCAATCAGATTTTTGACATCACACATTTTGAGACAGAAGGTCAAGTTTTAATGTTAATGCATTATGTTAATTTCAAAATTAAATTTACTGCCTGACAGATAAAGTTAGGTATCCTAAGCACATTATGGACTCCAAAACCATATGTAATTAAGAGATGACTAATGACAGAAGGTTTTAAGAGCTAACTGCCTATGTTTGTAGGAGAGGCCAGGAACTGAGAGCAGTTTTCACAAAATAAAGCTTCTAGTATCTATAACTCGCCTAACTCCTAAAAAGTCTGTGAGATTTTAACTATGTAAGAAATTAGAAAGTTCAAATTATTATTTGATTTTCTTAACAGAGGGGGAAATTTTGTCTTGTTTCTTTCTCTTGTCCATGTACATAAATACTTCCTATAATAACTTCAATGCACTTAATAACTTCCATTTCAATGTTTAGAGAGGTAAATATAGTACATAAATACAGGTATTTAGTGGGTGTGTTGTTAGAACCTTTACTTGTTTTCCACCGAGCAGCCAATTGATTCTGTTCTCATTTGGTCAAGAATCATTAACACTATGACACGCTTCACCTTAAGGGCAAGAAAAGTAAAATAAGGCATCATGAAGAGAATGTGCCCTGCAGTGTATGTCTTCATGCTCGTCACTGCACTAGCGCCATTGTGCAGCTGTAACTTAGCTTGCCTTAAATTAGTTAGTTCAGGAATTGGCAGCAGTTTACTAGTAACAGCATGGAGCTCAGCACTAGCAAAATCCCAGCCACTTGCCCTGCAGGAATGTTGTTCAGGTTGGATCCAGGTTACCACAGCTCTTGGTGTTGGAGCTAGTTAGCAGAAAACAAATCATTGCAGCTGCACTGTGTTGATGTCATTAGGCACCTGTCCTGTTAGAAGATGGTACTCTGATCCATTAAGTACACAAATTGTATTCCTTCTGTGAAGAACTCCCAGTTGGGAAAAAAAAAAAAAAAAGAAAAAGAAAAAAGGTAATTTGTGCTCTTATTCTGTTAATTTAGGCAGATGTGAAAAGAATATCCAATGTCAAGGGCTGCAGCAAGAAGCATTGCAGAATATGGCTGTTTCTCCCTCTGCTATTACATCTCCCTTTCACACTGCTAACCCATACTACATTCCCATCTCTCCTGTGTTGGCAATTACTCCTGCTGCCCTGTGCCTGCCTGTTAGCATCATGCTCCCCTTCCTCCAGCTGTTAGACTTCTCCCACCAGCCTCTCTGGCAGCTGCCACCACCTCCATGCAGAACCTCTCAGCAGGGAGTGTAAAACAAATGGTAAGGATGGCCAGATCCTCTGACTGTTGTCTAGGAAAAGTGGCGTTGGTTTTACCACTAGTAAGTCATGTATCTTAGTATCGCTCTGATGTCCAGAACATCACCCTTCACGAGAAGAATGTCAAGAGAGCTGACCCCTCTCACAGTTTTTCTAGCAGCAGCTTGACCTACGACTCTTTTTGCTATACTATTCAGACTCATAAATATTTTAGTTGTTTCTCTCAACAGAGCAACAACATGTCTTTTTCTCTGTCCAGGTTTAAACAGAAAAGGATGCATCACCATACCTTGTGCTGGGTCTCAGCTGGTAAGTGCAGTATGAGAGCACCGTTCACACCTGATAAATGAGGAACACCCTGCATGTGGCACACAGCAGGCACTGGGAGCAACCTGACACCATACTGCCACACTTCACCAATGCAGAGAAGTGTCTGAGCATGAAAAGCAGTCAAAACTGATGTCCTATAGGGACCATAAGTATCATACACTTAGTCCAGTTACATACTCTACGGCCAGGCTAATGCTGAAGCAGAAATTTGAGAACCATAATTTTGGCTTACAGACGTGAATTCCATCCATTAACTATATTAGATGCCTAGACTGGGGCTTCAAAACACAAAACTCTCCCTGTTTTTTTAGATGACTTCATATCCAGTGCACTAGCTTTTGTAGTTTGTATTCTGAGGTGCCTGAAATTTTGGAATAGCAATACTTACCATAGATCATGGAAAAATGTGGTTATATGAGCCCTTTAAAGATCTTCTCTTCTCATCATCATACCTCCAGAGAGGTATTGTATATACTTACTTACTGACAGATGTTTGCCTAATCAAGGTCTGGAAGGTAGCAAGCACTACATATTTACAGGGTCCACTCCAATACTTCACTGTTGGCACAATGGATTTGTTTTGCTTTTACAAATACCTAACCTAGTAAATATCTAAGAGCTAACCTTTTTATAAATACCTAATACCTAACCTGGATTGTTCTTGCTGAAGTTTAATACTTAAACAGATGTACCCTAAACTGTATAGCCCTTTGTATCTGATTTGCTTTAACTTCTTTATCAGCAAAATCAAGAAAATATCATTTGGGCTGCAACTGCTTTTACACCAACTTAATTAGATCTTTGAAAAAAAGAACACTCTTTTGCATCATATACCTAGGTTTTTACATTCTTTGTGATGTTTGTAGGGAAATGTGTTTTCAACTCTTTCGTCCTCCAGAAAAATCCCAAACTAACTCTGCTCTGTAGAAGCTGAACAGTGCACAATCTCCACATCTATTTGCCTGCTCCCTCTTGAAGTCTTTAATGTTAACAGAGCACAAACTGAAAATGCTTTTTCGTATTTACATAAACTTCAAAAAAAAAAAAAAAAAAAAAAGCCATTGTATCTTTTAAAGTAGCCACATAGAAATGCAAGGTACCAAAACTGCTTTACATTCTTGTTTCTAGTCTAATGAGCTGCTGAAAAACATAGATGTGAAAAGTTGTTAGCTGAAATAAGAACAGTATTGTTAAATCACACGTTGATACACAGTGACTAAGAAAACATACTTTTCTATTGTATAGAAGGACAGATTGAAGAAATTCAGTTAAAATTATGAAATGACTCCCTAATATGATTGAATGGTGTGGATTAAGGAAGGTATTTATCAGACATGAGATGGATGCCATTCACTACAATTAAACATTTACCTTTCCCTTCACCCTCACCATTAATATAACACCCTGTCATGTTTAAACAACAAGGTTACAAACATGCAGTGTTAGGTTATCATGTGAGGTTTATACCTATCATAGAAATAGCACAGAGATCAATAGCATAGAGGAGGAGGCTCCTGGGAATTCTACAAGCGGATGCAGGAAAGTTATCTGCAGGTATGCCAACATACTTGTGTCTAGTCTGTGACAAATTGTTTCAACACTACTAAAGTGTTCATTTTATTGCTTTTCCTCCTTCTGCTATAATACAAACATCTCTCAGGAGACCTTGTACATGTTCCACTTAAATATTTGGTTTTGTATCTAGTGGAAAAAATGTTTCCCACCTACCTTCTTATCCTCCTGAAGTCATCTTGGTTTTTAGAATTGAGTAATATAATATCTGTTCTGCAGGAGTTATAAACTCTTTAGCCTCAGTCATTGGCAGTAGACAAATTCGCTGGGGTACACTGCCTATTAATTACCCAGGTAGGGAAAAGTACAACATGATTCTTGTGAGAAAGCAAGCCAAATAGTTGTGACTTATACAATTCCTGAAACAAAAATACTGTTTAAAGACAGAAGCAATGGGAAAGCATTGAAGGATTGTCACTGCAATTCTCATGCAGTCAAAGCAAACAGTACTGGGAGTAATAAGGCAAAATTTAGTTTTTAATATTCCTAAAATTCATGAAAATAAAAATACTTTCTATTTTATCACTCCAAAATTGGAAAAGCCACACTAGTTTTGCTAGTAGATGTGATATACTATTAAACTGTATCAATTCAACTAAAAAAAAAAAGGCTTTGACTGAGTTATGAATTTTTAAGATTTACAAATTTTTACATTAACTGAAAATTTTGAAGAAATGTCATCTTGACCAGAACTTCATTTAAAAAAAAAAAAAAGAGAGAGAGAGAGAGAGAGGAGAAGAAGAAGGTAGGACCACTTCAGAAGGTGTTTTTTTTGTTTGTTTGTTTTGTTTTTATGAGGACAGTTAAATCATGAAAACATTATTTCCTCAAGGGCAGTTTCAGTGGAAATAATCATCATTTTCCAAAGATAAAAAATATTCTCAGTTAGCCATATTCCAGATGCATAAGAAGCATGGAACCAGCCCTGAAAGTCTTCAACACACTCTGCAACACACCCCAGAAGAAACAAACGTAGGATGGCGAAAGGAAGCACTTTAAGTATGATTAAGTATGCTTTAAGTATGATTAAAGGAAAATAAGAGGTTCAAACAGTATCTACCAGCCTAACTGGGTTAGCTGTTAAATCTACAAAGCAGGCACCATTTACATTTTTTTAATTCATTAATTCTAATTCTTCTAATTCTGTTGCTATGCAAACCTTTTATTTGAAACATTGGGGTACATGTACATATACACACTGCCGCCACCCGCTAGAGAACTTTTGGGAAAGGATTCTTACTGCTGAGCTACAGGAAGAATAAGAAAACCTAAGTGAAATACTTTAAAAAATGACAACCACAAGAGAGTAGTAAATATGCTTATACCAAAAAGACTGCTATTAATTCTAATGAGATTTTCTCAAGTGGAACATTTACAGGATTCAGTCCAATGGCTTAAGTGTAGTACACACTGCTGATGATAATAATAATAGATTTGTTCTCTAATGTTGTTGTACTATAAAGTAATTATAGGTGCATTTGATGTGGAAGTGATATATCTGGAGTCTACTGATTTTATCCACAGTGTGTTGTTCAAGTCTAGCTGCCTTGCTGGGCAGGTGCAGCAATCCCTATCAGTTACTGGAGTCAACAGGATGCATACAGGATTTTGGACACATTTGATTCCTCTGCATGAACGATCCATTTACAGTTGGCTGAACTGGGGATAAGTGGCTGAACTGGGGATAAGGATGGAAGTCTAGCCTCTGGATCACTTTGGTCATTGTCCTTGTCATCTCTAATTCTTTTTTCTATGAGCCAATATACTTACTTGAAGAAGAAGAATGATAAGAGATTCCAAATTGTTCAAAGAAATGTTGGAGGACTAATGAATTACTCTGTTGATACTCTGAAAAACACTAAAAGGAAAATATTAGCTGTTTGCCCTTGTCTTCTGAGCTGTCAACCAAAACAACATGTAACTTATAACTAGACAGAAAGATCCAGGTCTCTTTGAGTGGAGGCCAAAATAGCTTCAAGGCTCTACTTCAGCAGAAAGATTCTGTTGTCACCCAGACCTGACAACCCTCTTACCTGGTAAAAACAGGGCTAAATACTATTGCTAGCAATGGCCTGAGTAGATAAGGATCTTCTGATAGGTCCAGAGACATGAACTTGAATGAATCAAAGTTTCCTGACAGGTATATTTCTAATTTTTCTATGCAGTTTCTCTTTGTTTATCTGTGATAAAAGGAGCATTGTATTTGAACATACAGGCTCTAGAAGAGCTCTTGACAGAGAATAAAAGCGGGTCAAGAAACAGGTAGCTAGTGAGTTCAATAGCAAGGGAACTGTGCAAAGCTTGGCAGTCCAAGGAGACAGAATTCTGTTAACTCATTTCTCTCAGTTTCTATTAGGAACAGAGTGAGATGGTATTATTGACCATTGCCAAAATCCCACATTTAAAATGAAGACTTTACAGAGAGTTATGCTGTATATTACAGACATAAATAATACATTCTTGTATGAGTAACGAACTTTGTCATTTGACCTGAGATGTCTGTTTATTAACATGAAGTATTAAATGAGAAGTTATCTTTTTCACCAGTCCCTTTTAAGTGTTTGAGCAGACTTAATTCACCTCTTCACCTGGTTGCACTTTCATGGCCCTTTCGCATCCACTTGTCAGCTCTCCGAAAGGTCCCTCTCAGATTGGTTGACATAAACACAATCAAATCATATGGGGAAATTTTTAAAAACAAAAAGCTGAATGAAATAAAAGACCTTTCCATCATGCAATTGTGATTTAAATTTGTATGTATCGAGATACTTCCTTTGGTAAAGCTTTTCACAGTCCCCTGTGCAAGGCAGCAATCAGCTGTTACCAGGAGATAAATTAAAGAATGGAAAATTATAACACACATTCCACCTGCACGTTGGCTTTAACACAAACATCAATCATTTTCCAAGGTAATTAGTATTGTGTGGGCCTGCAGGGACCAGGCAAATGAAAAGGGTAAGATTTAATGCTCTATGTAACATGCATAAACACATGCATATCCACACACATGCACACACCCACAGCAAAGAGTTTTTTGCTTCTAAAGAACTTGCTATAAAAGCTCCCTGTGAATGTGACAAATCTGTTGAGACAAATTTAAAAATAAACAGCTATACACTGATCACATTTATACAAAGGCAAACCCAGAATAACACCACTAATGTCCACACCATTTCTCAAAGTTCACACAGAAGTAAATGAAATCTGAATCAGGCTTGAAGCCCTTGCCAAGTTCTCAGGCAACAATACTTTCTTGATTAAGCAATAGGCAAAGAACAAGGAGCTATTGTCCAAGCAGCTGGCAGCAGACTGATTAATAATAGCACTAGTGGACATCTGAGACATGCTAAAAGTTATTGAATTCATTAAGCTAAATTCTGTTGCAACTTGAAATCACTAGGAGTCTTGCCACTGATCACAGTTTAGGCCAGTCTGTCATTATTTCCCATATAAAATAGGCAATAAAGCCACGGTGCCAAAAAAATAAAGAAATAAAATTTGGACACAACCTTAGGAAATGCACACATTTCATTTTAGAAGCTGAGGACAGACATCAATCCTAATAGAAATCAGGGTGAAAAGACTTATGCTACAGTTTGTCAGATACCCTTAATCCCAAAATGCTTTTAGCTAATACAGTACTGCTGATGGGGTTTGTCTTTCCAAACTGTTTCTTGTCCACTTTCAACCCCCTCACACATACACACACAAGTCAGATGGCCAGCTCTGTGATCCCACAGTCACATTAACAGGTCCTAACACCCTTTCTGAGTCCATGCACAAAGGAAAAGTAAAGCAACTTTCACTATTGAATTCAGCTTAAAACAAAGGAGAAGGGTGTGCAAGGGCATTGCTTGGTAGCACACGGATGATGGAGAGGATGTCAGACAAACACTTCAGTGTTCCTACACTGAATTCCTGTTCCTCTCCTTTTCCCCTCTTGTTGTCATTCTAACAGCAGTCACAGATGGTTCCAGCCACCAAAACCATTAGAAACACAAAGCAGAATCCCACCACACATTTGCTCTCTAAAGCATTTCACATCCCACTGTACAGGTCTGTGGTGCTTCACCTGTGCTCAGAGCGGGTGTACAACTTTCACAGGTGCCAGCCAGAACAAGGACAGACAATACACATAGTGCTGATTCTAATTACTTATATATTACCTCACTACAGATCCTAATCACAGCCAAATACAGGGAGAACACAAACACCTTTCAATGTTTCTGCATTGTAAGTGACAGGAGGAATTTTACATACCTGCACTGAGCTGTTTTTACCCATCTCAGTATTGCTCAGCTGTAGTGTTTCCCAGGGAGTGGTACAATTGTAAGCATACTTAGCTCCATTGCAAAGTAGAAGAATCCAAGGCATTGATGCGATTTTGCTTTGCGTCTGGATTTGGGGAACCTAAAGCAGTCTTACTTATTATTGGTGTGGCATTGCCACTCAAACTTTAAGTCAGAAGACAAAAGACTAACCTTGCCATTGATAAATTTGCATACAACCAGCACACACAGCTGCAGAGCAAAATACAGTCTGTGCTTAAAACAACAAGCTTTGGAGACAAAGGCCAGAGAAGAGGATGGATTTCTTGGCCTCCTGACAGCATTCAGCCTGAAAACGATGAAGATTTACCCTTCAGCTATTGCTCTGTGGTGATACAGACTGGTCACCAGAAACTGAAACAAGGATTGCTGCTGTGCTTAAGGCCTTTTCAAGTGTCATGGAAGGGAAACAGGTTGCTCTGATCAAAGACAGAGAGTTGGTGTGCAGCCTGAGTAGGGTCTGCAGCTCTGCAACCATTTGAGCCCTTTTGGAGGGATACCTGAGCTAGCTCTTGAAAACTCAGCTTGTTGGAAGCAGGACAGCCCCATTCCTCTGGCAGTCTGTCTGGGCTAACAAATCAGGGCAGAAAACTCTGGGTAATTGATTAAACCGCATTTGATAGCAGAGTTGCTCAGGGATAGCTCTATGTCCACACACCATCAACATTGGAAGAAAACTCAAGAGTGGAAGGACAATGAGTTTGGAGGAGGTGGCTGAAAGTCCTCCTCTTTGCTTGCAACTTGTGTGACTAGCTCTGGAAATGGTTCGCTAGGAACAGTTTTACAAGCTCATAGTCCTGCCATGTTACTATTCAGCATCCAGTATGGGAATCTGCAAATGGAACAGAGGGTGACAAGAAAAGTGGAACCAGGAAGTGCATGAGGGGAAAGAGCCTGGAAAAGGTTGAGCAAGGAGGTCAGGGTGAGTGTTGATAAAAAGGGGAAATAAGAGGTTTGGTCCAGTTCTCAGGCATGCATTGGCTGACCAACAGCCTCAAGACAAGACACTTTTCCTTTTGGTGGAAATGGTTGAAGGTGAAACTGCTAAAGGAGTTTGAAGCTTGTGCCTGAGAAATGCCATTGGGTAGGGTGCAACAGCAAGCCAGAGGATAAGTAGCAACTGGATGAGGAGGTAGGAAATGAGGGAAGAGGGAAAGGCTAAGCAAGAGCCTGGGTATAGAAACAGAGCAGGAGCAGGGATAACATGAGTTACAATCATCCACATTGCTCTTCTTCCAGTATTTCCTCATGTGGGAGCCAACAACTTTTTAATTTATGCATCCTTTCAACCACGTTGGAGGTCTAGTGAAAAAAGAAATTCTGTACGAATGCGGTCAGCTTCCCCCTCCTGCCAGGGCTCAGGCTGTTACTGATTTATTTTTTCCCCCATTTGGTGGCTGACCCAGAAGAAATGACACCTATCCAACAGTGGAGAGCAGTGGAAAGCAACAGCTTTTGCTGTTGGGCTCAGTGTGCTTGCGAAGATACTGATGATAAAGGCAGAGATTGTAAGAGACTTCAGATACAGAAGTATACTTATTCAGAAATAGTATTTCTCCCTTAAAAATTAGGCAGAGATGTTAAGGGATGCATGTGGAGGATTTTTTTGTTTGTATTATTCTCTTTTGCTTTTATGTTCCTGTTTGTGAAGAAATCTTTGGAAAATAGCAATTTATTCAGAGCCTCTCACATAACTGACAGTCTGCTGCTATCAGGAGATACATCTTATTTCTGTTGAGTTGCTTTGACAGACATTTGTAAGGTTTCTGTGCTTTATGTCTCAGCTCCAGGAGACATCCTTACAGAAACAGAGCGTCCTATTTATTCCCCTTGTGGCTAACAGATGATTATTATTTGTTTCTTTACCCAAACCATCAATACTCAGTAGTCTGTCCCGAGCCACACTGCTTACATTTCTTTCTCTGTTTGCTAGATGAGCTTTGCCCTGTTATTAACTTCATTTTCCTTCAGATAAAGCTGACTGGTGAGGCTCTTTGGGACATTGCTGTTAAAATGATTTTTCAATAGAAAACACTGTTTCTGCAAAATTGAAATTTTCTGTTGAGAAAATGAAATGACATTGCCCACAACTTAACCTGCCTCCGGGGCCTGGCTAGCTCATGAGATATGTCACTCCAGAAGTGTGTATCTGCATCCTAGCCCAAGGGTCAGGCATCACCATATGGTGCCCTGTGATAGAAGGCATTAGGTGGGAGATGGCAAGGAGGCAAACACAGAAAAACAAGAAGGACCAAGGGATGTGCTGAATATATTTCTGTGGAGCTCTGTTGTATCCCCTGAACATGCAGCTTGAGATGAAATGTTCATTAAGGTGAGATTTCAGCACTTTGTAACAGGCATTTGGGGGATGAGGGAAGGGAATCTGTAATCTGAGTTCAAGTCATTTGACTGTATTTTCAATGTTAATTTAGTGCTACTAAGCTCTAACATATCCAAAGTGTGATCATTCTGTGTACAAAGGCAACATGGTCACATTGGTTAAATCAGCGCATAGCTTTGTCTTGCTTGC